TGTGTAGCTTTGAGAAGTTAAGTACTTTGGAGGTGAACAAAAATGGTGTTGAAAAGTTTGGTAAGCTAATGGTGGTGGAGAAGGCGGCTTTTTTCAGGAAAGGAGAGGTTGGAGATTGGAAAAACCATTTGAGTGAAGATATGAGACAACGTATTGATGGAATTACTGATGAAAAGTTGAAGGATTCTGGCTTGATTCTTGGTGCTAGGGTTTGAGTTTGATCGAGATCATCATCAAGTTTGGGTGGGCATGGTTTTCTTAGTTCTTGTGACACTAATCGTCTTGGCAAAGTCTTAGGTGTTTGTCTTTTTAACCTTTTTTTTTATAAATAAAATGAAGTTTATAACTTCAGTTCTTAAAATATTATTTATGTGATAATTTTTTAGAAAATTACCCATTCATAAGTCAACCGATTACAATTCATATCCTAACTACGCCAAATACTTAAAACAATGTAATTAATTTAGAACACTTTGCATTAGAACCAAAAATTCTGGTGATGGAAATGAGAATTTAAATCATATCACATTAACGAGATGCCATGTGGTAGAAAACTAAAATTAATATCGTCTAGTCTAATATTTTCGGCCTATTTATCTCAAGCCTAAACCAGCTCCATTAGACAGCTTATCATCATTAACAAATTAGTTTTGTTAATTATTTGGATTTATTCTTAATTCAGGAATGATGGATCCATTCATATTCAAAATGAGGCTGTGTAATATATGGATTAGTGACATGGATACGATGAACTAAACATGGATCACCTATAAACTATGACCTAATTATCAATCAAGGATAATTTTATTAAGGGAAAAGTCTAAAAAAACTTAATGGACTTTAGTGTTTGAAATGATTAATTTCTTGGACAATTTTTTGGAACAAATAAGTCGTTGGACATTTCAAAACATATTAAATAACTCCTTGGACATTTCAAAATCTGTTAGATAAATCCTTATGATCTATACGACCGGTTAATGTGGTAAAATAATGAAAAAAAATCTGAAATATACCAATAGACTTTCATATTTTGAACGATTAAGTCCTTAAACATTTTTTAAACCAAAAAAGTTTTCACATCTATAAAATGAAATAAATAAACCAAAAAAATACTTATATTTAAAAAAATTATTGATGAAATTTATTTTAATTAAAAATAAAATATTTTATGTCAGTGATTTTTCAAATAAAAAAAGATCTAAAAATAATTACTAATGAAATTTCTTTTAATTAAAAATAAAATATACTATGTTGGTGATTTTTTAAATTAAAAAAATAGAAAATAATTTGATTAAATTACTGACGGATTAACGATAAAATTTAATTAAATACATAATTAATTAAAATTCGTCTCTAATCCGTCGGTGAAATGATATCACCGACAAGATTCAACCACGATATTTCACACTTATTAACATGTTACTGTTTTAGAACGTCTGACGGTTGTTAAGTTAGTCATCAATTAGATATAAGTAATCCATGCACATATATACCAATGAAGACTAGCGATGAATTTTAATTAATTATGTATTTAGTTAAGTTTTATCGTTAATCCGTCAGTAATTTAATTAAATAATTTTTTATTTTTTTAATTTGAAGAATCATCAACAAAATATATTTTATTTTTAATTAAAATAAATTCCATCAGCAATTCTTTTTAAATCCTTTTTTTTATCTAAGAAATCATATATGAAATATATTTATTTTTAATTAAAATAAATTAATCAGTAATTTTTTTAAATCCTTTTTTATTTGGAAAATTTGTTTCATTTTATAGATGTAAGTATTTGTTTGGTATAAAAAATAGTTAGGAACTTAATCGTTCAAAATATGAAAGTCAATTGGTTTTTTCCCCCAATTTTTTCCATTATTTTACCATATTAACAACTTTTATAGGTCATAAGGATGTGTCTAACAGGTTTTAGAAAGTCCAAAGAATTATTTAACAAGTTTTCAAATGTCCAATGACTTATTTATTCCAAAAAATTGTCCAATGACTTAATCATTCCAAACATTAAAGTCCATTGGGTTTTTAGACTTTTCCCTTTTATTAAACTAACTAAAATGAACGACCGAGGTAAGAAAATAAAAGAATAATGAGGACCAGATAATGATAATTTCGGGTGTCGGTAATGTCATGAAAAAGTATTGGAACACTCTAGGTAATGTCATACTTTCATAGGATGCAAATGTTGAGAAAAAGCATATATATAATTAACAACAAATTCTTGTTTTCCCAGGCTATGTTCTTAAGGGATTCTTTGGTTCGCAAAATCTGAAAGGTTTTAATGAAATTAGAATGACAAAATCTTTTCACCAAATTTAATGATGATGTTTGGTTCACAGAATTAATTGGTTGGATTTCGTCGAATTCCACGTTTGAGTGATTTGATAATTCCTAGACATAAATGAAAATTTTGAACTCTATTTTCTAGCAGATTTTATAATTTGGTTTTAAAAAAACAAAAATAACATTTACATCCAATTTAATCAACACCACACCCCCCACCCTCACCACCTCTGCCAACCTGACGATGCCCAATGTTACACTCCCCCACCACCATCATTATTGCCACCACCAACGTCTTCATCAATAATTAATTTTATCTTTGCACCACACCAACTGGCATCATCATCCCTAGTCCCCAACCACCACCCACCTTGATCCCAACATCACCATGCCACAATTGTCGTTTTCACGACCGACAACCCCAACACGTAGATTTCAATTCTTTTGCGAGCTTACATTCCAATTCTTGCCAACGAAACGCGTGAAATTCCATTGCAATTCCTTCAAAATCAAC